ATATTGAAGCTGGTGGGAATTTTAGTGTTGATTAAACTATGGGGAACTGTTGGTCAATCATTCTCATTATGATAGGATGTTAACCACAGCTTAAAATAGCTCTTTGGAGTTTACAAGTTCCTTTTTCTCCTTCTCATATGTTTTAAATAGAGTGATTTGGCATAACGATAGAAACAAAGTTCTTATGGATAGGTAAGACTGTGTGACTGTGTGTACAACCAAAGGCTGTATTTGCCCTCCTCTGAAGTACCTTTAGAAGAGATGGTGATACAGCAGCTTAGAAGGAGAACTTTGAAATAAGGAAAGCTCCCACTATCCCAGATTTTACAAATTGAAGTAAAGCCATGCACCCTATATGAGATTCACTTGTGGCTTTGTTCTGGCTAAGGTGCAGGTCATTAACTTATTTCACTGGAAACACACTGAAGATCAGCCCTCTGAGTGCTCCCAAGCATTCTGGCCAGATTCTACAATTTCCTACTAGTTGCACATGTGTGGGTGTCCCCATTCCCTTCAATGGGATGACTCACAAGGAAGTGGTCATAAGCAAGAGTGAAGTCCCAGGCTGCGTTTGATCTGAATGACCTGCAACTTAAGGAGCACGGAGAGGTGAAGACCCGATTAAGATACCATGTGCATTCCATTTCCAGTTCACAACTGTCTCATGCAAAATACATTTTTGCAGAATGTGTTTGAATCATGAGGAGATGATATTTGGTGGTAAAAATCACAAAGAATTGGTTATGTTTAACCAGCTTTAACACACGTGCAAATCCAATGATGACTGAAGCAATTACTTCTTGATGGATAACTTTATTGCTCACAGATGGCACTTTAAACCTAGGAGGTCAGATTCTTTATATACACTGAAGCTGCAAAGATAAACGGAACATTCTCTTTAACCTCTCATTGTGCAGGTGAAAACAGATTAGTCAATGTGTTCAGGATAATTGTGGTGGCTGGAAGATCACTTAGCTTCAAATTATGAAAAGGATGTTGAAGACCACCAAGCCTGTTCACCTCAGGCCAGCTTCTAATAACTTCTAATGTAGTTTATTTCTTTGAACTAAGGCATAGTTATCCTTTGAATTTACTTTCTTTAGTCTAAGGTAACAGAAATTCAAAGTTCATAAAAAGAAAATTTAAAAGTATAGCTGGAAAAATTAGAGCAGAGGCAATAATCTGGTACGTGATCCTGATTTTGAGTTCAGTGAATCTGTTCTTTTAGGAGAAACTGAAATTTATCCAGAATCAGTGGAAGGTTGGTCATGTATGTGTGGCTACTTGGATGTCTGTAGAACTGAACTCACACATCATGGAAAATATGTGCAGGTTCAGCTATTTTATCTTTTTGTTTAATTACTTGTCTGTGTTTTTGTTTAACGAATAATTCAAAGTTCTGTTAATTCAGAAAGAGCATTGCTTTTTTGCAAGGCAGAAAATAGTTGAACAAAGCTCATTCTTTTGTTTCTTTGCAAATTACAGATTACACTCTCTGCTTTCACTAAGAAAAAACTCCTTCCATAATTAACTTTAGACAGACTAATTTCTGCAGTCTAAATTGACGTTTGCTTGTTAATTAAGCAATATCATATTGACTGACTCTCACATATATATGTAATAAGCCTTCCAAACCAAATAAAATACGCAGGACCCTTTTCTCCTCCTTATGAGGAGAGATTCCTCAGTTATCAGGATTAATTAGTTCTCTTGTTGTCAGTTGGAAAGAAGTTGCACCCCCCAATGTAGGTCAGTGTGAGGGTAGGTTGCTGATGGTCGCCTAGTGACAGGCATAATGATAAGTGAATGTGTCCTGTTGAGCCATGACCCTTCAGAAAAGATGGTGTCAAGTAAAATGCCCAGAGAAGGTACCAAGAAGGCATAATCCAGTTCTAAATATTGACAGTGGGAATTTCCTTGCTATTCTCCTTTCCTTTTCTTTCCTAATAAACATGTCAAACTCCATTGCATTTGTACTCTGCATCAGTTTTGGAGCATTTAAAAATGTAACAAAGCTAATGACCCATAAGTAGGTAGGATGTCCAATTAAGTTATTTTTCTTCAGACTAAGCATTTCTGTTGGTAAAAGTATTGTCTTGTCTTGGCCGGAAATATCATCTTTTTCTTCAGCTCTTTGTTAGTGGAAAGCTAAATTAATGAATACATTAAAAATCTGATTTATGATACCAAATTCACTGATACTAAGTCTTGAATATTAATGTGATTTAATATTGTAGTTGTGTCTGAAATGCAATTGGAATCAATGGTGAAACTCTGGCTTATATCAAGGGGAGCAAAGATAGAGAAAACCTAGGCACTCCTTAAGATCACACCCATAATATTTACAAATGCTGTGGTGTCTTCTAGAGACATGTAGTATGTGTAAGAGGGCAAAAGCTTCAATACATATCTGGCATATCTGGCTTTCTTTTTTTCCCGAAGTGTAAAGATGAAAAGATTATTATTTTTTTCTTTTCGTTTGATTTTAATAACTCTAAAGCCCTGCACTACCAAGCTGTCATGTTCATATGCTTAATTTAAGACAAATCCTGAGATTTGTATGTGGGAGTCTTTTCTTATATCTACGTAGAGCTACCAAGATAAAAGTTTGTAACCTTTATGATGCTTTCTTGCCCTTTACCTTTAGCAGACTTGGAAAACAACAGAGCCCCCATTCCCAGGTCTGGTCTCATGGTCCTGGCATGGGTCAGGCACAAACATGCTGCTGCTGGCTGCCTTTGCTGCTGGCAGGGTGCTTCCTGCAGTGCCGAGCAAAGCCCTGCACCCAGCATGGAGCATCTCATCCTCTGATAAGATGATGAGGGAAGTACAAGTCAGGTTCTCGGCACTTAGCTTCAGGGATGTTATTTCAGAACTGGAAATCAGTAGACTCAAAGGTTGCATGCATCTGCAAGAGACTACCCCATAAAAGCACAGTGTGCTATTTGGCAGACCCACAATTTCAGAGTTGAGATCCTCAAATGGTAGGTGAGGAAAATGTATGCCTGCAAGATACCACATAACAAATTGCTTCTTCAAAGATTTTCTGCATCCTTTCTCTCTCCTGCTAACAGCTGGAAGAATGTATTCATTTGTAGGTCAAAGTCTGATTTTTCTAGACTAATCTTGGGGACGTTTGTGTTTTTGTACCTTATCACTATTCAAATTTCTGGTAATGCTTGTGGTAAAGTCCTGAAAACTTCTCTTTGTTCTGAAAACTTGCTATGCCCTTGCTTGAAGCCTATTCAAGTGGGCTATAACTTAGTGTACACTTTACATTTTCTTCTGAACAGGGATGGATGTTAGTATATGAAGGAACGTCATTACAGTAAGAAATACTTACTGACAATTGAAAACAGCTGGCACTTCCAGGAAAAACTAAACAAGAGCAAATGAAGGCAGCACCTCCTTACCTTTTATACAAAATCCTTGTACTTTAGCATCACTTCCAACAAGTGGAGACTTGCTTTCTAGCTCTTTCTTAGGCTGAAGGAGTTCCCATCCTCAGATGCATAACTGCCGAGTAAAAGTTGCTGAATTTGGAGCATCCAGTTGAACAGAGTTTGTCTATTCAATATTTAGTGGCCAAACTCACAGCTAGAATTGTTGCCTTATAGTTCCTTCTACAGTCGGTGGAAGATTGGCCTTCCCAGTGGTCATTCACAACAGCCACATGATCTCACCTATTTCTACTGTGTGTGATACACACGGCTGTTGGTATTTGGCTGTGGTAGAAACCTCTTAGAAGGGTTTGAAGTAGCCAAACTCAAGATACACTTGACTGAGTTCTAGAGGAAAATCCACAGTACCCTTGTTTACACAACCCCTTTGCTTTCATGTGTTGAAAATGAAATGTTTTCTCTTGGAGTGAAGTGAGTTGGAGTATTCTCTAATCTTCTCTCACAACACTAAAATCTTCACAAATTGCAGTCAGGTCCAGGTTTAGACTTGAAGTGATTTTAAATCTTGCAAAATATTTGTGTTCCTTGATTCTGGAAGACTTTGCTGTCAGTGCGAGGCAGTAGGATCAAGGACTGCTTCTTTGCCTGGCCATTCATTTTTCTCTGCTTTCCATGACAGCTTTTGTGGCAATAGCTTATTATGGTGCAAAGATAAAGCATTACACCTTTCTGCCACTTGTTGGCTTAATGCACAAGAAGATCCTGCAGTCCGCTGTTCTTCTGTCCATACTTTCCCTTTGACTTTCTAAAAGTTGCCAACACACAACTTGCCTCAAGAAACCTGCCTTGATGTTTTCAAGCATCCCAAGCCACCCCATGCTATACTGATACTCAGGTATGCAGGGTTTCACTCATCACACTGGAATGGTCTGGCCAAGATGGGAGATTTGTTGGCACATTCGCTTTCTCAGCAAGCAGCATGTCTGGTACTTTTTCTTAAAATTTACCATACTGCTGTGCAGTTATCTTTTGTCACCACTTTACCTAAGGAAGCCTGCAGCTAGTGAGGGACTATAGTGCAACAGCACTGTGACCTTCAGAGACAGGAAGGGAAGGTCCTAAATCCCCTTTGCCTCCTTCCAAAGCATTCTCAGCTTTGCAGTGAGGTGTTTGAGTGAGAGTTCGGGATCTCAGAGGTCAATGTCTGGTTGTGGCCAACTATTCAAGAGGCTGCCATTGCAGCATTTCCTAAGGAAACACAGCCAGCAGTGCTGGAGGACACACTTCCCTGGTTCATTGTGCAGACACAAGGTCCTGAGCTTTCTTCAAGATTTACTCAGTGAACAACTTGAGAATAAAATTGTTGACCAAATCTTGCATTGCTTCCATGTCTTCCTGCTTTCCTGAGTGATTCTTTCTTAGAAGGATACAAGTTCTGAGTCAGAGAAGCATGATTTTGCCCAGAGGAGAGGAGTATGTGTGGTAAAGGAGGCACTGCCTTTGCTTTGCTTTCTCCTTCCAGCATGGCATCCTAAATGTGAGTGGGCTTGGAGCTGGATGGTTTGTCATTATTAATGCCTTTCTTCTTTGTTTTTCTAGGATCGACTTCAGGATCAAAATTAAAAGTTCCTGTGCTGAGCGTGAATGGCAGACAGCACATTGTTCAAGCAGGCCAGCCTTTAAATCTCACATGCAGGTAACCAGCTGAGCTGGCTTCTCATAATTTGGCTGAGAATTCATATACCTGATACTTTCTTCTTTTTTCCTTTTTTTTTTTTTTTTTTGTAGCTGAAATTAAAAAAAGAAAAAAAAAAAAGAAACCTAATGGTGTGGGGAAAGGTGGGGAGTGAACTTCAATGGCAATTGTTTAGTAGTTCTTTGTTGTTTCCCTTGTTGTTTTTGGAAAACAAGATAAAAGAGAACCCCAGAAATAGCCTAATATAATAAAACAGAAAGCTTGGGAACTGGAGCTGTATCACTGCAGCCCAACATAATTGTTTCTGCTTCCTTATCTGTATTTGCAGGGGGGAAATGCTTCATTCATGGTCTTTGCCTGAAACTCTAAGTAAGGACAGCAAAAGGCTGAATGTAACTAAGTATGCCTGTGGAAGGAATGGAACACAGTCCTGCAGCACTCTGACCTTGAGCAGAACTCAAGCAAATGACACTGGAAGATATAGCTGCAGATACCCGACGAGTCCAGTGAAAAAGAAGAGGGAATCTATAGTCTACGTATTTATCAATGGTAAGATCATGGGTTTTTTTAATGCTTCTTAGTTTTTTAGTTTTTTGGTGTTTTTTTTTTTTCCGTGCAGCAAAATGGATAAAAAATGCACATCAACTGTGTTTAAATAGTAGAGTTTTGAATTATATTTTCAGCTTCACAGATGTCATGATAATTTACTGATTTGTGTATGTATTGTGAGCTTTGGAAAGCGTATTTTGTTATTCACGATAAAATGAAGAAAGGAAAATACCAAACCCAACTGGACCACTGGAGTAATTCGAGCTCCACGTGAAAGTGCACTAGAGTGATTTTGTGAAATCATGTCTTAATCAGAAGATGACTGATGAAAACCATTTATCTGGTGCAATGTCCACTTTAACCTGCCTAAGACTGTGCGTTGCTAGACAGAAAGATGCTAAAGCTGTTTTTCTAGATCAGTGAATTTTCTCACGCTACAGGAAATTAATATTTGCATGCAAGTCACATTCAGAAAAGTGCTCTGCAACTCATGTTACACCAATTGTAAAAATCTAGAATAATTGGATTCAAAATAAATACAGAATTGTGTTCAGCAAACAAGTATTGTGCCATATATGGGAAATGCTGGAATTAGGTCAGTCAGGCTATAACAGAAATTGCTTTCTGATCCTGTCTTCTTCCAGGATATTAATCAGACACTCCTCAAAACATCTGAATTAAAAATGAACAACAGTATAAGAAGAAATTATGAAACTTTTAGCTTTATCACTGTATTATATATTTTAGTTTTTCTCAAATTTTTAAGCAAAAAGTTAACAGATTACTATGGGGTATCAGGATTCACAGATTTTGGAAGCCTGTGTTAGAGAGAATGCGCAACTGGAACTTTTCCAAATGATGTGTCTGCTGCTTCTAATGAGTTCACATCAGAGTGAATTAGCCTTTGTTTTCAGTCTGTGACACAGAGAGCAGGACTGATGCTATGGAAAATCAGAACCAAATGGACCGCTCGCTACAGAGACAGAAGATAAGATAGCTCTTCCCACTATTGTGGGTTGCCTTACTGATACTTACTGAATAATCCATACTGTTCATCCAGATCTGTTTCATCTGAAATACACTGTAGTATTTTCCTCACCCAACTACTTACCTGCAATTCATTGGATATCCAACGACAGATGCATCAAAAAAGGCATGGTGAAGTAGAAGGTTATCTTTTTTAGCAATCAACATTTGCTTCCACCTAGGGAAATTTACAGTTTTCTTGAATAATTTCTTTGAGTTTCCCACCATGGGACCTCTTTGAACCTCGTATCTTGGACCTTATATTTAGTTGAGATCTACCCACAGTGCTCTCCATTTACGATGTGAGAAGAGCAAGGACATTTGTGACCCAGACTGAGAACCTCTCTGCTAACCCAATTTATATTATATGAGTTTCCCTCATGTTCTCTTGTTCTCCTTTCTGTTTGACATGTTAATTTTTCTGGATTCTGAATTATTACAAATTGAAGACACAATTGGTCATACTAACTCTTCACTGCTTTCTGAGCTGTGATTGGCTTCCTTGCAACCAAAAGAGAACCTCAATTAGATATATGTGAATCAGTTAATCTGCCTAATTTGCATGTCAGTAGACAAGTAGTCATTAAATAAATAGCTTTTGGACAACCCTGAGCTCCCTCCAAAAATCTGTTAAAGATAAAGCAGAAAACCTGAATGCCATAATTAATTTGATTTTTTTTTAAGAGTGGCTATTAAACACTGATATTGCCATTGAAATCACTTTAGACTATGTTTTCGTCCTTCCTTTCCTGACCAAAAACAGTAAAGTGTAGAAGGGATTACCCTGTAGCAAGCTTTGACATCTTTGGCACATTAGTTTTTGGAATTTGACAAAACTTTTGATTGAAAGACAATTTCTTAACACAAAAATGTTAATTGTGTCTCACAAAATATATGTATGAGTTTGGTAATCTACTGATGGTAAAGGAGGCTGCTCATGTAATGACTGTTGAAAGACCCATTCTGCCCCAAGGAGAGAAAAGGTGCAATTTCAGGGAGAAATTTTGAGCAAATTGAAAAGAAACAAGGCTCTGAGTACCGAAAGTAACCCTTTCTGATCAGCGTTCCATTAGCATTGGGAAGAAAGTAAGGCATCACTGAACATAAGTGTAAGCATACATGAAACTCAATTACCTGGGTTGAGTGGCAGAGAAAAGAGGATGGTAAAATGCTCCGTTAAGACTATCTTTATTGAGTTTAGTTTTATTTTAAAGAAGATTTTGGGTACTTAGGAAATAAACATTTGTAAAAGTCAGGTTCCTCCTAAGTTTGTATTGTTTCCTGTGGCAGGACATTGTGTCAGTCCATTTCCCATATTAGCTCCATGTGGATCCCCAAGGTGCCTGTTTCCCATGTTTTAGCATGCTGCAGATGAGAACAAATAGTTGCTATTTACAAACACGGGGTCCAAATCAGGAAAGCTGATATTGTTTGTACAGGAAGTCATCACTGATTGTTTTAAAAACGTTATTCATTTCCGTAGTTAGAATGATACTGAAAATGAACTGGATTAAGGGGAGAGGAAAAAAAAAAAAAAGAAGAAATAAAAAAAAAAGAAACAGAGTAAATCCAGTAAATCCTTTTGTTCAGGAATGAGAATATGCTACAGCAGAAGGCGAGCTTCTGCAGACAAAAACGAGATGCAAGGTGATAAGAAAGAAACTGCAAATCACAGGTCTTGGGATGTCTTAACACATTTCTGAAGTGATGAAATGCAGTGTTTGGGTATTCAAGAACCAGCAGGCTGGTGACGTTTTGCTCAGGAGCTAGTCCTGACACCACCCTGCTTTTAGCTGGAGAGGTCACTACTGAGTTGCACAGTGGAGTGAGTGCCACAGCAATCCTTGGCCACACACAGCTCAGGGATTGAGGCATCAAGCAAGGGAAATGAAGCTTCTCAAGAGCCTTGGGTTTTGCTCTAAGAAAGCTGATATCCTGACTTCTACCATGAGCCATGGGAAAAATCCAAAATGAAACATAAGCCTCTGTGCCAATTTCTCCACTGTGCTGGTTCCAAAACTGCTCTGATCTTTGTTTTGTTGCACAACTGCAATCTGTAAATTAAATGGAAAGATTTGTAATGAATTCTCACTGTTTACATTGGAGTAAGACATGGTTAGTTTTCTACTTGGAAAGAGATCATTATGTAAAAAAGACAGTTTAAAAGCCCTAGACTGGGAGCAGGCTATTTTGAAACCTACACAGATTTCCCCAACAACGTTTCTAAAGGCTTTTTTTTTCTGTCTGCCTTCGTTCCCATAGTTCCAAGGCACTCTTCTCCAATTGTTGGAGCTCATTCATTTTCTTTCTTCTTCAAAAATTTCTAGTCCTCTTTATTCTTTGTTCTCATCTCTTTCTTCCTTTGCCTTTGATCACCTGTTCCCATGATGTAACAGTAAAGCAAGTAAGTCCAATTACATTAATATGGCAAGTTTAGATAATTGCAGGAATTTGAACCGAATTTGATTCAAGTTTAATCGTTGCTACTTCCTGTGATGAAGCTAGCTTTCAGCAATTAATACATGAGATCAATGTTTTAGTTCTACTGCATCAGAGAATTTTTAAGAGAAGTCATACTTGACTTCAGATATTAGCCCATCACTTAGTCACAGTTCTCTTTTTCTCTCCTCATACTCCCACTGTGCATGTTTCTGGCCACATACTTTTCCTTGCAAAGACATTTACTGATACTTCAGTCAAGCACCAATTAAAATATTCTGTTTTAAAATCACACGTTTGTGCTAAGTTAGTTGTCTATTTTCTTTCTGTGCTTAACAGAGAGAAAAAAAAGTACTTTCTGATAGGTGTTTCTCCTCACTGACATGATGAAGAATCTTGAGGACAATTTTAGGTGGGATGTCTTCCTTTGAAAGGATTTCAGTCAAATGAGGCAAATCAGAGCTGGATAACAAAAGGTCCTGAGAGCTATGCTTGTACTTACTGATAACTGGAATATCAAACATGTCCACTAATTTTGGATAATAGACTTCAGATGTGTCTCAATTTGGACAGTCCAAAATGAAGGGCTTTAAAATTATTGAATGTATCAAATTGCTTCAAAATATAAGACTCTGAAGAACCAAAATATCTGGGGTTTTGAGTGCCTTCTCAAACTCTAGAATTGCATCCATCCAGGCAAACCATGTCCTATCTCCCTGGGAGGGCCAGTTGTTGAGCTAGCACTGCTAGCTAGATCCAGCTGTATGGATTTAACCTTTAGTTTGAGTAGATTGAATCCTGAAACCCTTAAAGTCGAACAGGGGGGTTGGAGGGGCATCAAATTAGTTCCCCAAAAGGGTCTTTAAGATGAGAAGCTTCAAAGTCAAAATAATTCAGATGGAAGCAGCAGCAAGACAAAATACCTTGAATGTCAACAGTAAAGAAGAACATCTTTTTCTTTTTCCTTCTTCAGAAGTAATGTACCCATAAAACAACCTGCTGTTGCTGAAACTTGTGCTTTTACTTTCTTTGCTTTTGGCACAGTTCTAACATATGAGCTGTACTTTCTGGCTTATGCTGTCAGAGTCAATGATGTGATAGCACCTCTGTTATGAAAAGGAAACTAGTTGGGATTAAACTGCTCTACATCTGTACTGAGTACATAGACATATTTTTAGTGACTCATGAGGTTCCTGTTGGAAAACCAAGCTTTCTCAGGCTCCCTGATGTGAATTACCACTAATTGCTATACGTCTATAATGTCATTGTGTCTACATGGACTTCACATCGTGCTTCACTGTGTTGAGCAGAGGAGGTTCAGGAGCTTTGGCAGCATCAAATGGGACACACTCAGCTCTCTGAGGTCTCACTTCCTCACCAGGGCTTATGGCTGCCACTGAAATGGAAATCCATTTTCAAGATGATCCATCATGAGGGAGGGACGTAACTGAAAAAATGATCTAATGACCAAGGGCCTTTCTAGAGTTAACTTTCTGAACATGGTAATTACTGCAGTGTGAATTTCCTGGTTAAAGTGGATGAGAGTACTTTTTCATAAGAACTGCCACTTTTTAAGCGTGTTATGGACCTATGTCAATGATAGCATAGTGTAACTGGCCCCAAAGGAAAACAAACCATGCTTAGAGATCACTGCAGTTATGGTAGCAATGCTTTGCATCTGAATGTGCTTCAGATATGAAGTATTCCCCTCTTTTTTCTTTTGATTTCTTTTCTTGACTTCTATGTTTACTAATTCATAGCTCATAATATCCCTCTTCAAGTTTTAGAAAGAGTATCATTTTACAGTTTAAGGCAAGACAAGAGTGGAAAAGCCATATTACAGAAAGGCACTGTGCTTCCCATGCTTATCCCCATACAAAATGAGATTTTTTTTTCTTAAGGATCATAATCAACTATCTGTAAGTAGATAAGTAGATGCCTTTCCTAGAGCATGATTAATTTCAGCCTCAAACAGATGTCTGGAACAGGTCAGGTGAGGTCAGTTCCCATTCCAGAACTGAACCATAATTGGTTTGGCTGTGTAGCTCAGAAAGGGGTGTCTATGTTTTAGATGTGTAAATGAGGTGAGATCCACTCCCAGTCCGAAAAAGTTCATTACATTGAACAACCCTATTGATGCAGTCAGAGTAACTACAGCTAGTCAAGGTAAATCCCAAGAAAGGGAAGGAGAATTTGGTAATTGGATGATTAACTTTCGTGAAGTTCATGTGTTTATACTTCTGTGCATATGCATGAGTGAAAAAAGATTTTATGTGAATGTGAGGAGACTTGGTTCTATTGCCTGAAAAAAAAACGTTAATGATGAGCCATGGTGTAAGTATGTATTTTGGAAGGACAAACTTAATAGATTCCAAGGAGCTCAGACTCCTGCAGAGAGTTTTCTTGCAAATGTGTAAGCATTCTGTCTTACGTAGCTCAGATTATTAAAAACAAAACAAAGATGGGCACAGTAGCTGAAGCATGTGGAAATAAAGAACCTCACCATCTTTTCTGAATCTGACATTTCAGAGTTGGCTAGTTTGGTTGTTTGTGCAAACCCCATGAATAGCCTAGACAGGTTAGTGATATCAGACATAATATTGCTTGTATTAAGCCTCTTATCAACTTTGTACCTGGCTGCCAACCAGCTCTGTAAAAAGCTGCTATTTATATTCTTTAACAATATAGCAAGCAACCGTCAGATTTCATGATTTCATGGCTGTTCATTGTGGTTTCATGTTGATTTTAAGTGAGAGATATTGTAAGGAACACAGTCAAACCACTACACAGTCATTAATTACAGGCACAGTTAAAAATATTATAAAGTGACATTTAAAGCAACATCGAGCATATGTAAAAATTTTGTCTATCCATCCTTCACCTTGCTACCTTTGTAAGCAACTCTGAAGCTAAACAAACGAACAAAACCTCAAAGATCAAGATCAACTCAGTTGTATTCCAGATCCCAATGAAGTTGAATGTGGAAACTCAGATGTAGTCTTTAAGAGTGGTTGATCCACGATATTCCTTTTCAGAGAATCACTGCGATTAGAAAAGACCATCAAGGTCATCCAACTGCGTACCCATCAACACCATGCCAGCTAAACCACATCCTTCAGTGCCACATCTCCAAATTTCTTGAACGCCTCCAGGGACGGTGACTCCACCGCTTCCCTGAGCAGACTATTTTATGTTTGGAACTTTCAGAACCTCAAAGTATGTGAAGCTGGCTCAGAAGACCACTGGCAGGAGTTTGGGTCATCCCAGATGTGTTCCCAGCCAACTTCCAAGGAAGGGGAAATATGGCATTTACCTTCCTGCAGGAAAGAGTTGGGAGGAAGTGTAGCAGCAGCCACTGGCTATGGCTAAAGCTGTGATGGGAGGGAAAGAAGAAAAAAGAAGCAAGATGTGCTATTATTTAAGTGAGAGAAGGAACTCCATGTCATTGATGTACTCTGTTCTCGTGCTGTGGGTTCAGCTCTGCCTGCACCATGCTGGGAGACCCTGTTGCAGATCCTTGTCTTAAAGTACTGAGTATCCCCTAATGGCCATTAAGACGGAAGGAGAATAAAATCAAAGGGAATCAGGAAAAGCCTCCACACTCATTATGAAAACAAAACTGTGCTAGGAAACATGATGTGTATTCCTTTTAATCAAAAGCAGGAAGGCATTTGGAGCACTTGGGGCCATCAATTGCCCTCCGGCCCATGGCGGAAGTCCCAGTGATGTCAATAGGAGCTCTGCACGCGAATCATAGGGCATGGAGTCGGCTCCTTCTGTCCCTGTGCCTTGGCATGCCACTGCAGAAACTTACTGGGGAAGGTTGTCACCAAGTTTTGAAGCTTACCTAGAGGAGCCATGGCATTTTGTTGACTTTTATAAAGCACTTCATTGACTTCTCCAAACGTGAAAGTGCATTGCTACTGGAAAAGGAGAAAAAAAAGCCTAAACATGGTGTTTTATGCTCATTTCCTGTCCCTGACTTTGGGTGGACAGGAATCCTGTGAGGTCTAAACTGCACAGCCCCCATGGCCTCGCTGTTGGCATCAGTCAGTGGTGACACTATGTCTGCAGACAGCACTGCTAATCTCCAGAGCAGCTCTTCCTCACTCTTGGAATGATCTGGAGATTATCATACAGGAAAGTACTTTGCAGAGCTTGCTGGTTTGGGGCTGGAGCTCTTAATTTTATGACAAAGATGAACAAGTCTTTGGGGAGCAGTAAATCTATTTTTCTGTTGATGTTAAGGGACAGGTGACCTCTTCCATGGCTGTGACCCATGAAAAAAACAAAAAAAGTTCTTTTCACCACGCTACAAACAGGTTCAGTCTTGGTCTTTCCTTGTATCGTATTGCAAAGGAAGTTAGCCTAACACATCCTTAGAGTACTCTTTATTACATATGCATCCTCTGTTACTCATAAGTTCCTTTTGCGATCTCGGCGAATGTTTAACACCTATTGTTAAATAAAGCATTGTGCTAGCCTCATTTCACAAAGTGTATGTTACAAATTCACAAAACCTCTTTGGGAAAACTTCAGTATCCTGGGGTACACTTAAGGTACTTGACCTTAGGATTCTCCCTTATATATATTAGAGTAGAATTTGCTTCTCTTCCTATTATATGTTTCAAACAAAAGTATTTTTGCATATCATAAGAGAGAAGATCCTAAGGGCAGAACAATATTATGACACTGGGAAGTGCAGATTGTTCTTATGAAGGAGAAGAAAGGGCGATGCATTTAGAGAACAACTTGAGTTAACACAGGTCAATATGCAGAATTCTGGTAGCGTTAATGTTTAAGGTTTTGTAAAGGGTCAATTCTTGCTGGTCATACTCATTTCTTTTCCAAGAAGGATTTCCATTGTTATTTTGTATGGCTTTTGACTGAGTGAAAATAGTAGGATTTGCCTGAAAAAACATTGGAGCCATAGATAAGCATGGAACTAAGATCTAAGTGTTCCACTTTTTCAAGAATTAAAAGTCAAAACTTACATGAATTTGGAGGTAGTCTCTCTGCACTTTGAGTCAAACCAAACTTTCACATCTCAACACCTGCAAAGAAGATTTGGAGCCAGAGCCGGTGGCTTGAGCCCCTCTTTGTTAAGTGGCTCAAACAACAGCAGCAGCAGTGTTCCTTGTTCCCAGTGCAAGCTATTTATGACAATGCCCTTTGTTAAAGAGGTTGTTCGAGGGACGGTAAACTATTCTGCCAAGCTTTCGTTATTGAGTTGAATGAAATAAATGCTTTCCTGGCATTTTCCTTATCACAAAAGAGATATATAGGTATTGTGATGGAGGGAAGGAGAAGAACAGTTAACTCTTGCTAGCCCGTATTCTGAGAGTGTAGCTGGAAATATGGTTGAATAACAGTGTTCATAGCAAAGTCAGTGTGTTGTTTTTTTGTGATTTTATTTTCTGCCATTGATTTTCTTTGTTAAGAGCATGAACATGTCTTACGTAATGTTTCCTGATAAGTGAATTTCAGCTTATATCTCATAACTGCTTCTCCAGAAACACGTTGAAGAAAGAAAGACGTTTTCCGGCAGTAGATACAAAGCTATAATGAGAAAAAATGTATGCAAACTCCCCTGCATTTTAAAGGAGATACTGAAGTACTGGTGTTGACATTTAGAGATAAATGTACTTTCAAACATTCAGCAATGTTTTACTGAAGTTGATTAGATAGTAGTAAGCAGAAGAGTAATTTGAGGACTTTTCATTATAAATAGGATTGATCAGATCTTTCCAGGCTGTTACAATTTCCATGCACTCTCTGAAGATTTCATATATTAACCTTTTCTTCTTCTTCTTTTCCCGCAGATACAAGCAATCCATTTGTAGAGATGCACAGTGATATACCTAAAATAATACACATGACGGTGGGAAAAGAAATGATCATTCCTTGCAGAGTCACAGCACCAAACATTGCCGTCACGTTGAAAAAGGTACTGCAATCCAAGCATACTCTGACAGTGTTCTTGCTGATGTGGATGCTGCATTTTGTTGTCGTTTAGAACTATTGTGGAGATTTTGAGCTATTTCAACTATTTAGTGTTTTTTAAATAGATTTCTGGGTGCCAGCATGTTTAGAAGTATTTCAACTCAGGCAGATTGGTCTCGTATTTTAAAAAAGTGCTTCGCCAGATCTCTTACACTGCGTGAGAGTTTTCTAAACTTCAGTGTTTTGTACATTTTTATTGAAGGTCCATTGTTACTAAGAAGTTTAACTTCTGAACAGAAAGGTTTCTCAAGCCCTGCAGGGAATTTCTTGTTAGAAGAAGAAATTTCTTCCCTCCTCTTCCCCTGTCCTATCTCTTCTTTCCTCTACTCCTATCAGCTGGAACAGCCTGGAGATGTGCTGAGTCTGCATAGAGCATTTCTTCAAACTTTTCCTTTCCCCTTCAACTTTGCTTCTTTTTTTGTCCAAATGCACTTATCAAACAGCGCACAACTTCTCTTTGTAGAGAAATTTGTGCAGGATTTGACATGCTGGGTACAGTTACAGAAAATCTGAGCAGTTTTCGTGTTTTAGAGAAGGTATTTCTTTCCTAAGTAGCTTATAAACTACATGTGGAGTTAGGTGACTGAATGCACGTAGTAAAGTGCATAGTACTGGCACAGAGAATGGTGCTTCTTTTTTCAGTTCTTTTGTCTGGCTCAAAAATCATGTGGAGGTGCCAGTGATGTTTCTAAAAAAATATTTATATTTATATATATGGAGTTCTGTACATAGATACATAGTAGAACCAATGTTCAGCACTTTTATGAGGTAGCTATTTATTTCATGATAGAATAGCATGTGATTGCTGAAAGCAACCTAAGTGCAGAGAAAAGAAAGTAGCTCCAAGTAATGTGACTGCGCACATGTTCGCACACATGCACACACACTTGCAAGAGCTGTACCAGAGCTGGATGATGCAGAAGACTCTGCGGCTATAGAATCTCAAGTAAGCAGGACTGGGCTTTCTGTGGGATGCATGATGTAAAGTGAGGACTTATTTGGGCACTGTGGTGCTGCATCTGAAATCTCAGCATATTAAGTTTGTAGCTGAGAAAATTCCCCTCAGTGTTCTGATCTTATGAAACAATGTAAAAAGCGAATCGTTCTCCTTATTTGGAGGAGGTTGAGGCACATCTACTCTCTTTTATCAGCTTGCCCTTAGATCGGGGTTGTGGTGATGCATCTTTCCAACATCAAAACCAGATGTAATACTCTGGGAAGAAGAAAGAGGAGGTGGAGCCAAGTATTGAAAGAAAGGATTGGTTGCTTACATGTTTTGCATTCCAGGAAAAAGAAATGTGTTCCCAGCATTTCCTGAACTATGTAAATTACAATGCATTACATCATATCTTACTTTATTTATCATCTGTGACATTCATGTGTGAAGATTCCAGCAAATTTTTCCTCACATTACAATTAAGAGATGAGCTGAATGCATTTCCCATCTGTTAGTATATTGCTTCTGAAGAGCTGGCAAAAGCCAATCTATTTTTTCCATTTAGCATTAAAGGAAGAAGCCATTGTCCCCGTAATGCAGTCCTCTGGAGCTAGAAAGAAAATCCCAGCATTAGTTTCATTAAATTCCGTATTTTATATTGCCAGGGAGTCAAAATATGGAATATTTTTTGTAATCTCTCTCTTTTAAAAGGACTCATGAGTAAAGTTGCATGAACACTGCCTCCAGCACCTTGTTCCTGTGCAGTGCTACTTTATAGTTGTAGTGGACATTGTGGGAAAGGTGTATTATCCATTTTCAACACTACAAATGATTTTATTACTAAAACTGCATCGTTACATTGATCGTCATTTTTGAGATATTGCATTATTCTAACTTCCAGGCTGAACACTCGTACAAATTGTATTGCATAGCACGAGAATCGTATGCAATGTAGGATTCTTAAAAACGAAGAAGGAAATAGGGATGGAGATTTTCATTCCTATTTCAGAACCAGCCTTCAGGTCCTATTACAGTCTATATCTGCAGTAGCTGGTAGCCTTTTCTCTACCTCACTGTATGATGAAACGGTGAAATCAATTGATGGTTTTGACCTTAGGTTTAATAGTGATATCCACAGCATCTGAAACAATTGTTCCTACTGGTATGATTCTAACAGTCTCATTCAAAATTCCTAAAATAAGATGAAACTTTTCGCAACTAACGTAGGCACTTCTTTTGTTTCTTCATTTCAACTTGTCTTTCTAAATGGACAAAGCATTCCCTTTGGTATGATAGTTTGGTCCTCTGTTTACTCCACTTTTGGATTCTCTGTCATAAAGTCAACAACACCATTAGCAGGAACAGAACTAAATATGTTTTGGTGTAAAGTAAAAGGAACAAGAAGAGAGAAGAATGATTACCCGAAGATGTTGAGAGCCACACATCTGGACAGTTTGATTCTTAATAATGCCACCTCATCCTTCCCAAAGTGGTGTAAGGGGGAACATGAAAGAAAGGACAAACATTCAACACTCGAATGTACATGTTTTGCTTTACTTTCAGATGTTTTTTGCCTTTACAGACATGTAACCATACACTGACTACGTACTCTTAATCATATGTGCATATGCAAAACCTTGTGATAGTACTGTGTTAATGCCACTTCGTACACACAAAAAAAGTCAGTGACTAGTATCAAGCAAAGAAGGAGGCATAGCCTGTGACAAAATTCATTGAAGTCTAGTTTGAAATAAAAAAGGCAAAAGGCCAATACTGCTCTGGGATCCACAGCACAGTGGTATATACAGTTCAGTATGTAGAGAGTAAATTCCATTTTTACTGCAGCCATCACAACAAATGGCTTCTTTGAATGTCTTTGTCTATCTGCTGGTTTCCATTTGTAACCTGTTATTTCAACTGGCTTTTTCTTCTGCTGCTTCAGTGGAGATCGTGCTGTTCCAGCACAGTGTTGCTCCATGGACCTCCTGGATGGTGGTGGCCAAGCTCTGTGGCATGGCCGTGAGCTGCTGGACCCTGCTTTGGCAGGGTGTGAACCAGTTGATGCCCAGAGTCCCTTCCAACCTCAGTTACTCTGTGGTCCTAGGATCCTCTGTCCCATTCTATCACAACACCACGTAACCACAATGCCATATCTCTGGCTGGTTGCCCAGATGCTGGTGTTTCTGCTTAGGGTAGAATCAAGCTTTGCGTTTCTATGGGAGTGGGAAACAATCACTTGAACCAATAGGATGGCAAAGGGTAGATGGGTAAGAAAGAGAAGTATCAAGTAAATAATTAAGATAGAGTTAACACATTTGCCAAGAAACATCAATCTGGAGAGATTCTGAGGTTCTGTCTTGACTCTATCTTCTTGACATATATGAAAACATGTAGAAGAATATGCTCAAACTGTTTCTCTTCCACTGAAGCAGAGAAGCATAAATCTAGCTCTTGAAGGCATGATTATGAGCTAGTTAAACCAAAGCTTGGATATTTGCTTTTGAGACAGGAATGGCAAAAGAATTCTTAGAGTCCAAGATATGGTTGAATGGTAGCCAACAGGCTATAATATAATGGCTTTAGTTATGTGTGTGTAACATACACTTCCCCTGTGATTTGCGTGCTTATTATAGTATCTTATCAGCTGTTGTAAAGATAAAGAATTCTACCTCAGCACTTTTATGCTCCCTGTAATTATTGTTCCTTTGATTCATCGTGTGTTTCTGTTGGAGGAAATGTCTTGAGACAAGTTGAGGTGAGCCCAAGGGCAGTTTGCGGTGCACACTGTGTGGGCAGCACAGAGGATGCCATGTTTGTGGGATGCTCTGCCATGAAGGATGGCACCAGGTAGCTGGCAGCCACTCATGCTGGCTGTGGCTGGAGAAGAGAGGGTTGGCCAGCATGCAAGACCTCTGCTCACATTAAGGGGAAGAAGGTGAAGAGAGGGATGCCATGAGACTGGGATCAGAGAGAGAGAGATTGTTAGTCTACAAGCTGACCCAGGGATGGAAGTGAATAGATATGCTCTTTGCTTAGGACACGTTTTCATTAAAACTCTGCTACGAGTTGTGATAATCTGATTATTTCTTTAATTTACTGGGTTCTGATTTTAATAAAAAACAGGTGGAGGTGATTTATGTGTTTAAAATCTGTTGGGATGTGGTGCTAACATGATTTAGCAGAGGGTTGTCAGAGTTAGGGTAGTATAGTTAGGTTGCAGTTGGACCTGATGATCTTTAAGGTCTTTTCCAACCTGAGCAATTCTATGGTTCTATACGCTGTCTTAAAAATAAAAAAGAATAAAAAATAAAAGTTATTTTCACCATAAAAGCAAACTTTATGAAAGTAGATTTGTAACCAGGCTTTGTACTGATGTATGATCTCTGTGTTACCCAAGTAGCAGCATTTATTCTATCAATAAGGCTGTGTAACAGCAAACAAACATTGATGTGAAATTAAGAGGTGTTGCCTGAGCCTCAGTGTTCATGTCATCCTTTGTCTTTCCAAAATTTTTTATTTCTTATTAAAATGGGGCTTAAAAATCAAAGAATGCTGAAGAAAAACTGTTCTGCTGACAAAGTCGACACTTGATCCCACACAGGCATATTTTAGTCTGCATTAGACTTCAGGTCATAAGTTTATAAAACATCTGATGGTTTTGCATTAATTGCTTGCTGGGTCCTTAATTTCTGAGGGACTTGGAAGTGCCAATTTTTTGTGCTGAACACTTTTCCTCTGGAAATATTTAGTGTTTCAAGGTGTCCTTTCAAAATCAGTACTCAGTATGACTTTCCTATTGAGTATGAACTGTGGTTTTCATACCTGAGAAGGCTTTGTGGCTTTGAAATTTGAGCTCATGTTGTATGTAATGACTTAGAGAGATGTGTGCTCTATGATGTGTCAGCTCTGGAACACGTTGGGTTTTTTTAATGCCTTTCTTTTTTTTAACAGTCTAGACCTTTAGACAGCATAAACCTGAGGTAAATCAGATTGAATCCTGCCAGGAATTTGTTAAAGCCACAAAATGACAGCAAATTAAGTCCGTTTGTCACCGCCGTTGAAAAAATGTGTATTTGTGTCTCTGTGGTAACACCAGGACACTTAATTGCAAAGGTTCTCCAAGAGGAGCACTTTTGCTGCCAACTGGAAGCCAACAGAATAGCAGCCCAAGCAGTGAGGCTAATGATAGTGTCAATCTATTGTGCCATAAATTACATCCTGTTATAAATAATGAAATCTTGGAAACAAATAAAACGTTCACTTTCTTCACTCACATTTTTTCCTCTACTTTGTGATGAAAATGTGACTTGAAAAATCTGCATAATTAAATGTCATTCTTTCTACGTTGATTGACATTTTTTAAATTTTTTCTTCCCACTCCTTTTTTTGGAGTTTGTTTTGATTAGAGCGTGGCATGAGGATAAGTTGTTTTTATGATGTGTGCTTGCCACTTTTAGATTCCCAGAGAAACCCTAATTCCTGACGGCAAAACGATAATCTGGGACAACATGAGAGGCTTCAGAATACCTGAGGCAACCTACAGATTCATAGGGCTCCTGAGCTGTGAGACGACCATCGGTGGGCACAAGTTTAGCACGAAGTACCTAACGCACCGAGAGAGTAAGTGGCTTTCCCCACTCTCCTGCTTTTGGAAGGCGTTCTGCCCTGGGGATGTTTCTGAATTCTCCTTCTCTTCATGATGTGCAGCCAACACAATTTTTGACATTAAGTTGAGCACCCCACGCCTTGTCAAGCTGCTGAAGGGAGACAGCCTGGCAATCAACTGCACAGTCAAGGCAGCCTGGAACACCCGCGTGCAAATGACGTGGACTTATCCTGGGGAGGTGAGTGCTGGGGCTGAAAGGGAGTAATGGGGTGTTCCCATAGATCACCCTGCATCTTGCATCCAAAGAAGAATGCTGCCTCAAAATGCTTGCCATGTTTCGCATTCCATCCCTATGACCCTTGCTGACATGGCTTTTAAGATTTTTTTTTCCCCTCTTTTCTTTCTGGTGGTTAATTGAATAAGTAAACATGTTTACACAATGTACTCTACTATATTGCATAATCACGGGTGAGCGCTAGAATTCTTTCATCCCTGCAAGCTTCTTTTCGACCTGAGGAAATGATAGAAATTTATCACTCAGTCCCAGGCAGGGGCTCTCTCTTGTGACTGAAAGTTTTCGTTGAGGCTGTCTTTCTTAACACATTCATTTCAAAGACTGGCAGACAGTCAGGCACCCCACTCAGGCATGTTTAGAGAAGATATTTTGATTTAGCTAGCCAAAATCTCATTTGTTAAGTGTCACATGAACAATCCACTTGTTTTGACATCTACAGGAATGATCTTGAATGTACTTCTCCTCCCATCATGTTGGGAGCATCCTCATAAATATTTGTCACTTACAGAATAACTGCCAGGAGTTTGTGCAAAGCTGATAAGAAATTTGACATTAGTTTAAGGTTTACAACTCCCATTCCTTTCATGTCAGTTTGATTTATGCTGATGATTCAAGTCAAGATCATTTATTATGTCACTCATTGTGCCTAATCGCAAGCTAAAATTATGAATACATTATGCAGGGAAGATTAATGCAATAATTTCTTGCATGTTGTAGGCATTTTCCTTGGCATTTTTTCCCCACAGAAATAAAGAACTTAGCAACAAGAAATGCTCCAAATATATGGATTTGTTCACTGCTGCCTTACCAAGTCTTAGCATAGCATCACACTTGTGAAACTCTGCTTGGGTTTTATTTGGACGGTAACTGAAGGGTGTTTGGTGTTCATAAAACCACAACAATGTCCTGGGTTAAATAAACTTTGAGGCCAAAGGCTGAGGGGGAGTTGCAGGAAATAACTCCTCAGCCTCGCATTATCTTCAGTTCCACCCTGTTACTCCTTTGCCAAATCTTCTCTGTCACTTCTCCATCTATAGCGTTTCCAGAATTCTCCCCTTCTTGTGTTAAAGCCCTTATTTTCTATATGTCTGCCAAGCTGTGTACTGCCTTTCATGTGCCAGCTCAGGGTTTTTCATGAGCAATGCTGGGCGAAGAGTGGTGGGGAGTTGAGCACATTACTATGGCAGGCTGTGCAGATGGGTTGGTCTTCATCTGGAAAGGTGGAGTTTGGATGCTACTACAACTTGAATGGATGTATGAATTGCCAGATAAAGTTACTTTCTATTTTTATTGTTGATTCTTTGGAAATTTTAGGCAACCTTTTCAGGTTCTACTTGTGCAAAAGTGTCTGGATATACGTTGTTTTACAACTTGGTGGTAGAGCAGCCAATTGAAAATCATCATGCTCATGAAAATTTGATTCAGCTCTTTAATGTTAATTTTTACTTTAACAGGCCATGAAGAGAGGTTCTGTAACACAGCGCATTGACCAGAAGAATAGAGAAGCCAATGTTTTTTACAGCATTCTTGTTATTGACAAAGTTCGTGATATTGATAAAGGCCAGTATGCCTGCCATGTGAAGAGTGGACCCTCAAACAAATTAGTCAACACGACAGTCATAGTTTATGGTAAGATATACCTTGAATGTGTAAAATAACAAATGCTTGCTTACCAAGTTCTGTCACACAGTAGCTTTTTATCTTGATAAAAAGTGGAAAGAATTTTCTAGCCTGGTCATCATAGATAGGAAAAAGGGAGACCAGTGAAAATACATGCCTTTTGTTCCACGACTGTTTTGTCCTGCTGACAGTAGATGCATTAGTGTTTAGTTTGATCACTTGTTCCTGCTAAGACCTGTGATACCTCAATCGGTTCTGACAGTTCCAGTTCCTCTTCTACAGTACTTGCTCCACTGCTCCATATGCAACATGAAGAAGAAACAGACACACTAGCTCTGCATGGAGAGGACAGCTGCTAAACCATTCACAAAACTGAAACAAGTCAGAGAAGCTGAAGCTGTTGAAGCTAGCCTGTAAACTCTTATTTGTGTAAATAGCCTCATCTATGGGATACTCATATTGGAAAAAGACTATGTGAATAAGGGTTTGCTGAATCAGAGTTGTGTCTTTAGGTATATCCTGACTTATGCAATTAAATTACTGAGTTGTCTTGAACGTGTTCTTTTCCGTGCATGCTGCAAATGTGACTAAATATGGCACTTAATACATAGGCAATATCCATATCCAATCCATAATGTGAGTAAATATTGCTATGTAGATACTGTCAAAGGACACTCAATCTCTTTTTCACATTTTGTATGTTTTATTTTGTTTCATTGCCTTTTGGAAAAAAAAATGTGTTCTAGAAATGTTCTGTTTTTTTACCTCCGATGAAATGCACCAATTCATCAGAGTTTGAAATAGGGGGCAATACAACTGGGAAAGAATGAATTCCAGCAAGTTGAGGTTCTTCCAATGAAGTGATAAAGATATATTTGTTGGATGAAACAGCTGTTTACCAGTGCTAGAGAAAATTTCTGTCTTTTCCTTTGCTGTTTTTCTGAAGATCACTTAATTCCTCTCCAAACAAATATTTTATTTTGGAACATCCAGTGATTCTCAGCCTTCAGGGGAGAAGAGATCATCTGTTCATCTTCCTGTATACCATGAGCATTTTTCTTTTTTTTTTTTGACTGAAGCATAATGTGAATCTGACAACAGTGTATCTTTCCTATGTAGATCATGGCTTGGGAATTGTATCTCAGTTTCTTTTATATTTGTGGCATTCTTCTCTTTAGGAGGGCTGGTTATATTCTTGCTGTTGCCATGTGGGAACAATAAACATAATAAAGATCATTTTTATTTGGATTCCTCTTCTTTTTAGAAGAGCAACTCTTCTTTTTTTTTTTTTTTCAGGGTGAAAATTATTAACATGAGTGCGCTCTTTTCCTTTTATTTCTTTAAGATAAGAGATTCATTAACTTGAAACGTCGAAGAAAAACTATGCTGGAGGCTGTAGCAGGAAGAAAATCCTATCGCTTGCCAATGAAAGTGAAGGCATTTCCCTTGCCAGAGGTTACATGGTAGGATAACAATTACTTCCAACATATACACACTAGATCTCTTCTTAAATGAAAAATGATACGTTGATAAAATATTCTAATAAAACCCCTTAAAATGACAATAAAATGGAGACAGCATAACTGTAGAGTTTGATTGGACTTTTCAGGGTCTTTCTGAGTTTTAAGAATTTAAAAGAACATCATCTCCATTATGCGTGTTCTAAATAGAATGCCTGGAAAGTTTAAATTTTGGGTCCTCAAATACATTAGATACGTCTCCTACTGAAATCAGTGGACAGTCTAAAGCTGTATTTACTAGATCTTGACTGAATCAGTGCATCCTACATCATGCAGACTTGAATTTGTCTTTTAGACAGAATGAGAAAAGAAAATTTTATTTAAAAAAGTGACTGAGTTGATTCATACAGCCATGGACTATGAAAAGAGCAGTGGAAGCGGGCTTTTTTATATGGCAATCTGACAGTTCTAGGTCCACATTAGTGACCAGAGCTTTCACTTTGGCTCAAGTTTACTGAGCTAAGGAATCTTTTGAACAGTTTTTTGTCTTAACTCAGCCCCCTTTCTATAAAACAATGTTATCTACTTGTGATCTCAAGGTGCTGGGGCTTTTTTTGTTGTTGTTTAAATAATTTTAAATAGCAATAGCTCTGGCTCAATTCATTGAACTTTAACAAAGAGTCTATGACAAGAATGATTAAGAAAACAAACCATACATACACGAACAGTGAGAGCTCATGTTACTCACAGCCAGCAATTATTTTTGTTCCAAACATTTTGTTTTATTTTTACAATACCCTCTGCATTTGTAGCTGCACATGGAAAATTAATGGATGAAAGTGAAGACGATGCTTGTCGTTTATGTGGTGTTTTCTGTTTCTTTAATGGTTGGGCTTCTTGACTGCACGTTTACATCTACATCTTCTGGGGGAAAAAAAATCTAGTTAAACATAAGAGTATTAATTTATTTATTACTGTGAAGTTGGTAAAACACTAGAATAAGTTGTGCAGAGAGGCTGCAGATTCTCCATCTCATGAGATGTTTACAATCTGACTGGCCATGGTCCTGGACAACCTGATGACCTTGACTTAAGCAAGGGGGTGGACAGGCAATCTCCAGAGGTTCTTTCAGCCTCAAATATTCTGTAGTTCTGTGAAATATGTGTACAGTGAAATGCCTAAATCCGTGGTCCTTAGAACCATTTTTTAGGGCTTCTCTATTGTCTGAAAGAGCTTTCTGTAAACACTAGAACACAAGAATCAATCTAATTAAGCCCATGATCACAGTCAAGCGGCTGCACTTTTCTACTCACATCACGTAAGTCTTCATTAAACAACCTAGGAAAAGGTGCTTTTTGCCATATTTTAAACATTGAATAGAAAAATATCTGCTTATTCAGGAATCTGTGTGTGAAGTAACACTTCTCTCTTTCTGTGTTGATTTTCTGTTATCTTCAAAAACATTCTCTATGATAGCAGGATATCTGATTCTTAAGTGCTTATCTAATCTACTTACTCTTCCTCTTCCTCAAATCACAGCTGTGCTTAGGCTACAGTAATACTTTGTCCTGGGACGTATAATGAAGCCATGAGAAATGGTTGGTGCTGGGTGATGCAACCTTTATTTGTGTGACCAACTTGTAGTCCAAATGGTTGTCTTCTAGACAACACAGCACAAGCATGGAAAGATGGGATCTTCATAGGCATGGTTCCGATTTTCAGAAACTCTCAAATATTATAGAGCCCTATCAGATCCTTATCAATTTTAACATGTAGAAGTGCTGTATATATATCAGCAATCAGTAAGGGAAGGCAAACCAAATCTTAGATTGGTAAGATTCTAATTGGTAAATTCAGTTCTTGCCCAAAAATCAAGAAATGGGAAATGAAGAAGCATAGGCTGTTAAAGCAGCTCTACTTTTCAATTGTTTTACTTCTGGACTTCTTAACAGGTTAAAAGATGGGTTGCCTGCTGCTGAAAAGTGTGCCCGGTACATGGTTAAAAATTATTCATTAATCATCAAGGATGTTGCTGAAGAAGATGCTGGGAACTACACTATAATATTGAGCTTACGACAGTGGAACTTATCCAAGAATCTTACAGTCACTCTTAAAGTAAATGGTGAGTTTGCAGCTTGTTCCCACACTTCTCAACATAAACGACTAAGCTGTCATTGAACAGTTCGTCTTGCACGGTCCAGGTTGCTGTGGACTTTTTCATGAAAACAGATCCAAGCCCGAGGTGTGGGGATGAAGGACCTGTCTTGAAATCAGCAAATGGACGCTGGTTTCCATTGGAAGGTCTTGTATCTTCCACAGTCATGTGCTAGTTCCTGATTACTTAAATGTGTTAGTAATTGCTCATCTGATACGACTTTGTCCTGCTGTTTTTCTTTCTTCTCCTGGGGACTTTTTTGATTACTCACCCTGCAGGAATGCAGTATTGTCATGATCATTGGAAATGAGCTGCTTTTAATTGCTTTCCAATTTTTACTTCTTATAGTGAAACCCCAGATATATGAAAATGCTGTGTCATCATTCCCTGATCCAAATCTGTATTTATTGAGCAGCAAACAAGTGCTGACATGCACCGTGTATGGTATTCCTCCGCCAAAAATAACATGGATGTGGTATCCCTGTCGACAAAACCATTCTAAAACAAGGTAGGACAGCTTCTTTACTTATATTTAGTTTGTCTTCCCTTCCATTTTTACCTAAAGATTACCTTAAGAATAAAGCTCACTGTGACTATTGTTTAGTTAGTAAACCACATATATATTTAATCAATGTATTTTTAAGTAAACATGCAGAAACAATGCAGTTTTTTTTTTTTACATCGTTATTTGAGAGTAGAGACCAGAGTCATTGTTTCGTGCTGTTGCTTATTTTCATTTACAGTTCACTGCTATTCATGCGTGCAGTGTTCAGAAGTGATAATTGCTTTTTAATTTTTATGATGTAAGCCTTGCAAGCAGTGTCTTGCTAAGTGTACATTCTTTCTCATGGAGGAAACTTCCTTGCTTCTCTCCATGCTCTTGTCATCATACAGTGATTGCACTGTGTGGGTTGTTTTTTTTTTAAATTCAACAGAAACATTCTTTAAAACCTTCTTTATATGAAGGTCACATCTTTCTTACAATGCATTGACTCATAGGTTCAGTTCAATAAGACAAAGCTGCACAACATCCTCTAGATGATATTTCAATAGGGTAAAATATAAGTGGCATCATACAGGCTTATTTGATGCTGATGTGGCACTTGATTAAATCCTCTTTTATATTTAAGCTTTGCTTTGAACTTTGTGTCTGATGACAAGTTTGTATGTTGGCTCATTTATCCAAAGCTCTTCCTGAATGCCAGCATCTGGCAGAGTCTTAACAACTAACACTAACAGTAGCATTAAGCTACTATTTTAGAGTTGAAACATGCAATATATTTGGAGCATAGCACAATAAAGATATTTAAGAACCTAATGAAAGCTAAGAACTCAATATTTTCTGTCTCATTTGAAGGTGACCGCTTTACATGGGATTTAACTTCTTTAACACTTCCAAAGAATTGAGTTTTAGTGTCAATCCAGCCAAACATATACATACAGACATGCTTAAACATTGATATAGGTACTTAACAGCAATAACACAAGACACCTGATAAGACGAAATAGGAAAATCACTGTATTTCATATTAAGGGTCCCTGTAAGTGCTGGTCACCTCTTCTTGGGAGCACGTGCTGTATTTTCCGTTACATCTCACTTTGTGATAATGCAAATGAATGGCTTTCTGTGCCCCTCTCACCAAGAGGTGGCACTAGCAATCTCTCCTTTTGCTGGAATAGGTAAAACCTGAAATTGTCAATTTCTAGGACAGGTAAGGGCAGCACTTCCCCTCTCTTTTATGTTCTCTTTGAAGCACTGGTCACAAAAATTCCAAGTAATTATTTATTTTGCCTTGTAGGTATGAGGTGTAAGATAAAAGAAATTGCTATGTCTTTTAAGTATAATCCCTGTGAAAGGTATATATGAACTTTTTTAATCTTTTAATTTCTTGCAAGAGTTTATGCATATTAATACATACTCTGGACTGAAATCACTGTGTGGCTGTGGTAAAAGTTGGCTCTTCTTTGAGAGTAGAAGTGAGGCTCTTCCACTGTCAAATATTTCCTTCTATTAACAAGCTCTGCAGTATGGATCATGTCGTCAGCAATAAAAATTAATATCCTCAAGCAGGTACTTAATAAAATGCTAAACTGTAGACTCAATTAAATCCTAATGAGAAGTGTGTTTGAACAGGTGATCAAAGGAGAAAAGTAACGATTTAAGCATCAGCTATTGGCTCTGTTACAAGGCTGTTTCAATCTTGTTTCCAAATTGCCTTCATTATTGTTCTATAACAATTCTTTTTGCACCCTCCCCTTCCTTATCCTTCAAACTCTCATTGAAGAAGCAGTTTGGAGAACACAATTTTTAATGTTTTGCCTAAGATGACTGGAGTGACTTCCTGTGAAAAATATGGTGACAAGTGTCACAAAATGATAGGAACACCTGAATAATTACATTTTATCTCTTACTCTGGGAGGAGAACAGGAAGCCTTGCAGCTGGCATGGCCAGCACAAGCCTTCTCCCTAAAGAACTGGAAAACCCTTTAATTCCACCTTTTTCACCATTTTTCTCTCCTTGTGTGAGGTGATGCTTGCTTAAGCAACAGATTAATGATGAAGGTACTTTGTGCAGAAGATCAAAAATATGTCTTGTTCTTCCATCTCTGCTTTGGATTTATCTGCCCAATATTACATTTCCAAGGACAAAATGTTGCTCTGTTTGTGCTCATAGGTAATGCCTATTTCTGTGCACAGGTGAAAAAATAGTACCTTAAGTTGATAAACCAATGCAGGCTACCATTATTCATCATATTGTATTGAGTTTCTGGGTCCCGTGCCAAAGGACAAAGCTCACTCTCTCAGGATATACATTTGGCTGCTGAAAGACCTTGCAGTGCACAGATCTTTTGGCTTCAAGATTAATACACATGCTTGACTTCACACTGCTGGAATATTATCACTGAATGCCGGGGAACGACTCACAGTGCATAAATGAGACATTTGTAGTTGTGAATGACTGTTGCCTGTGACCTCCTTAATAGAAACCATTAAGTACTCTGTTTCTTCAAGTTGTTGTTCCAGACAGTTTTTCTGCTTCAAAAATATAACAATAACTCAGTGGATTCAATTGATTAAAATAAAATGCAGGCATATGTCAATGCTTTGTAATTAGTACAGTCAATTTCCATAACTCTCTGCTGAACACCTTCTTCAGGCCAGTAACAGGTGACAAGCCAAATGTAACAGTTCCCATAGTTTCCTGGCAGCAAATTTTAAAAAAAGTGCTGTAAAATTGCTCAACAAGTTTAACTTTTTGGAATGCAGAAAAACTGAGAACATGATTGAAATTCCATCTTCTTCATTTTCTTTTAAAATAACTTTGCTTAGCCAACTCTATTACTATTAAATAACCTTTTGTTAAATAGAAGATAGCTAGCTAGATGGTGGAAAGATTAACTTCTAATTTTAAATCCCAGCAAGGAAGCACAGAAGAGTCTAGAAAAACTGTCTAGGGCAAAAATTAAAGTTCTGTGTTTTTGGTTTTTTTTTTTAAAGGATATTCAGATCTAACAAATTCAGATATGGCAGGCAAAAGTGGAGAGATGGAATGAGTTAAAATGCAATTAAAAAGTGAAAGAATAGACATTCTTAAATGAGTGCCGTTTTCCCAAGAAACATCTTATTCAGTGTCAGCTTACTCCATAGTGGCAGCAGATACAGCAGATAAATCTATCCACTGCTCAGTGCATATAGCAGAAGGCACTCTGATGACTTCCATCCTTAACTTCTTGCCTAAGCAGCCTCCCTGCCTCTCTGCTCCTGTATTTCTGGCCTTGTTTTTGCTGAGGTAGGGTTATTGGCGGAGTTCTGTGGAGGAGCAGCCAGGGCACGGCTTGCCAAGGTTCTCGGGAGCCACCAAGGCTGATCTCTGCCTATGACCCATCCACTCTGAGGCTGTGGAATAAGCGTCTCCATGATGGAGACATGCTTGATGTGAATGGGTCTTGACCTGAATCTCATCAGCAGATCTGTGTTTATCTTAGAGTTTGGCAGAGAGATATTGTGAGATATTGATATTGCTTAGTATAAGCACTGGCTTCCTCAGCTCTCGTGCAGTATCATCTGAAGGCAGTTTCAGAGAGACCTTCACTGTGCTCTTCCCAAGACTTGACCCATCAGCCCTCCAGAATGTGCAGACAGATGCAGCAGTGCAATTTTATCTCGGGTGTTCCAGCTCTCCCATCACCTTGCTGCCTCCCTCTCTCCTCGAGCTATCAGTTACAGTTAGCCTCAAACCAAATGTCAGATTATTAATTTATGACTTTGCCATTGCATCTCTCTGGGCTTTTAAAATTATTATTTTTGTGTGTGTGCATAAGGAAAAGAAAACTATAATGGCATTGTGGAGATATCTACAAAAAGAAAGTAATCAGGAAAGCTGGTACCTGCGTGGAGATAGAGTGCCTAGAACTGTCATCACAAAGTGCATGGCCTGACTCCCACCAGCTTCAGTGAAAGAGGAAGTGGGACATGTGTGCATAGCAGTCTAATTGCATTTCTGCATTGTTTATGTCGGGGCATTAATAAAGGACTGAAAGGCAGAATGATTAGGATGTGCTTGGATAGATTATCAGGGGAAACTAGGTTTGGAACATCAGTGAGGTATGTAAAATGCACAAATGTTAATTGTACTTAATTAGAAATGTACTGAACCACCTAAATTTAATTGTGGATGTCTGCAAACATTGATGCCCATTAGTTTGTCCACAGCAAATGTTTTTGTTCGCCATGCCACCTTCTATTTTCAGGAAGGGGAAGTCTGAGTCCTTAATGCTGGTGAAAGTAGGTCAGATGCCATTAATAAACAGGTAGTGTAGAAATGCCTTTGTTTAATTTGACATGTGGCCAGATCCTCAGCTCCAAATTCATGCTGGCTGAGACCTTTGTGCCTTCCATTCCCTACTGCAAGAAAATCCTCTTGCAGTGATCTGGTAGTGTAAAGATACTCACAATGGGTACATCAAGAGTTATGCCTACTATTCCTTTGTTTGTCTGTGGCTGTGGAAATGGATGGATGTGTGAAAGTAAAAACCAAGCTGTGTCATTTTCACTTTTCCTTCTGAACAATGCAGAGAAATGAAAATGAGAGTACACCGTTGCACCACAGACTTGCAAAGAGCTTGAGGCTGAGTAGAATAGAGTCTGATCTGTCTCAGAGCAACTATGTAGTTCACTGAAGCATCACATTCTCCACTTTCTCAATGAGCCAAAAGCCAGTGCATGTTTGTGTTTGCAAACAGCTGGTAGGACAGCTTTGGTGTCCTCAGTCAATATTTTGGAAAATTCTTTTAAAATATTTTACTTACAAAATGCCATGTGAATCAGCCCAGGCATACACATACGGAAAAATAAGCCTGATAAATACGTATGACTCATGCAGTACAGTTTGCCACAGTCTGTCTCAAGGGTGCTGTAGTGGATGCACTGATGAATTTACTTTGCAAGCCGTAAATGCTCTCAAAGGCTTTATCATGGATTATAGTTGAACCAGAAGATTAAGCTTT